AGAAAAGTGACAATGAGAGATTTTTATCATAAGGAATTTAATATTTAGAAATATAAATGATAGGAGTTTGGTTATGCTAAAAAAACAATTGAAGCGCCTTTATATTAAAGGAAGACATAGACGAATTGTGAAAATTTGAGGGCGTGTAGTAAACAACAGATTTCCGAGAATATTAATGACGACAGAATTTTAGAGTCAAAATAGCAAAATAGGAACTAATGACATTGAAGTCAACGTCAAATGAAATCATAAATGTAGATTATATTTTTCCGTGCCCCTAGGATTTAATCTGTCGCCAATTTTTCAAAATAGGCGCCACTGTTCATGAGGACTCAGCTTTCGACTAACAGGTGCCAGGTTAAGACTTCATTTTAGGAAAATTGTTTTTGGTATCATCAGCATATATATACAGAGGTGTGTTTCAAGGCCGACTCTACATAAAGTTGTGCTTGGTAACGACTACTACTAGGTAACTTCACTGATTAAGATAGAAAAAAAAGTAATTATCGCCTAAGTAAAAGTTTAACAATGTGAAATGTACTTGCATGAGAATTATGCAGTCCAATATTGGCGAAAGTGTATCTAGGTTGATGATTTGTCAATTCGTTAGAATGATCTGCAAACAAACTTACACCAGAATTGCCAAGCATAGAAGTATTGCCAGCTCCAGTAGCAGCACTAACTATGGCAGCCACTACATTAGGATTGCTTAAGATATTCATCGTAGCAAGTGCAGCAGAATTGGAAGAATCTACGGAGACTCCATTGTATTCCGGTTGTCCATTTGCAGGGGTACCAGAGTTTCGAGTCTACAAAGGGATTCGGTATATGAAAAAAGAATAATATGTATAAACATATATACATCACTAGTAAAGATTAGGTATACTGAGGAAAGAAAAATCATGCAGCTGATTCGTTTAGTTCGCCACGCACTCAAAAATAATCTTAATAAGACCAATAATAAAAATGCTCGTTCTATGAGTGCGGATGAAACTGTTGATTCTACTAATAGAATAACATTGTTGATTATTAAAAAATAACAAACCACATGAGAAAGTGGTAGTTGACAAATAAAGTAGAATATGCAATAAGCCTCATCTTCCTATATACCACTGAATCATGTTGAACTAACTGACTACTTCCTCTCTAAACAATAAAACAACCGACTTTTATCTCCAATAATCAGAACATAAAGCAAGACAATATAGCTTCTACTCTTAAAATTCAAAAACTCAGGATAGAATATACTTATACCGTAACAAACCACAAATAACACACGACAATCTGTGTACAATTAAGAAAAGTGTGATGTGAACTGGACATTAAGTGTATAGTTAGTTGACTGACGACAATTCCGGAACGATAAAACACATATCGACAGTTAATAGGTTAGGTGAAAGCGTATAATTAGGACAGTAAGGAAGTACTAAGAACTATGTACTTAATAATAACAACACAACAGCAATGGATATAATTCACTATATAACATTTAAGGAGTTTCACCATTACCAAATATCTCTCTCTCTGAAAGAATAAACAGAAATTAAAAACTAGGTACGCAAAAATGACAGAAATACAATTGTTGTGGTGATAAAAATAGTATCTTTAACAGCCAAATTGTATCTTTGAAAAAACTTTGATCTAAAATGTTTAACAACTAAGACAAGTTTTGCATACTTAACATTGGTGCTGATAAGAATTGCTGCTTTCTGACTAGCAACTTCAAAATCAACTCAGGTTTTATCTTTGAAATTACTTACTACTACTACTACTACTACTACCATGTTGACGCGATAATGTAGGTGTTTCAGATACTTGTTAGTAGAATCAAATCCTAACATTCACCAAACTGTTGATGTTGATTAGGCGGTGATTACAAATAAACAATGAAATTGTATTGTTATCTTCCCCGTATACAAAAGAATATGTAAATCATTCCATGTGTAACAAATGTGTGTTACCTGAAGACTAACCGGTTATTAGGGTCTGGGGGAGTGAAACTTTACACATAATAAACCTTAACATTGAAAGTACTCACATGGTGAACACGAGTATATTCTGCTGCTAAAACAGCAGCAGCGGCTGCAGCTGCTGGATTCATTCCACCCATTGGTCCATTTCGACTTCCACCTTTACCGGAAGAATTTTGTCCTCCATAACGGTTATTTTGAACCATACCTCCGTAAGCTGGAGGCCAAGCTGTTAAGAAAATTAATTTAAAAAGGCATTTAACAAATTGTAAGTGACTACAATTATACAAAGATCAATACATAAAGCAAAAACCAAATTTAACGAGTAACGTACTAAAAAAAAATTGGAAAGCCTACTAACTGACGAAAAGATAGATAAAACCCCTATACGCGAATACTGTCAATTGATTTGAGTCAGTTGTAGTAACGTCCAACATTTAAGGATCCTGGATCCAGTGATTTAAACCTTAATTCACTACTATTGTAATACTGCAAATACTTTATCAAATACTGATTTATTCGTGATAGCTAGTGATGTTATTCGTTTGATCTAACCGAAGTTGGTGAATGTGAGATCAAATTAGCTGACACTCGAGTGACTCAATTATGAAACTATTGCTAACCTTGCTTTATCGGGTAAAATACAAGACATACTTTTATAGATACTTGCTTTGTTCATGAGTTTTAGGATTCGACAGAGAAGCACCATACAGTGTAAGCATATGTTCCACAAGTTCTGTAACACATGAATACAAGTTATATTAACTACGGGAATTTATAAGGTGATAAACGAACTCTAAAAAACAGTAGGTGCTCACCACCCCATTGTTGGGTTCCCAACATCGTTGACTGAAGAGCAGCTTGCATCGAGTTAACTGGAATTCGTTGATTATTAGTGTTATTTTGACGAGCAGAAGGAGGAAGCTTGGGAACTGCAGAACCAACGCTTATACGAACACCTTGAATTTCTTGGTCCTTGCCTAATAAAGAGGCTGCAACCTCGGGGTCGTCAAACGTAATGAAAGCGAATGATCGAAAGGGTTTGGGTATGAAAACATCAGATACCTAGAATAAATCATTGTGAAACATTTGAGAATTAGATCAAAAAGCAAACGATTTTATGCCAGAATTTAAGATACGCGACGTGATATTTGGATCAACTACTTTTCATCGTACTCTCTTAAGTATTGAGTCAAAGTTCCATGTGTATTTCAGTAAAGTTATAAGTTCTTTACTGCATTTATTAGAAGCGACATATATGTATATATATATACATGAAAAACTTGCTTGTGATACTTTGAGTATACTTTGTGTTAATGGAAAAGCAAACAAATTAAGATTATTAGGAAGCATGTAAACTTACTCTTCCATATTGAGAAAAATGCTGACGGAGGATTTCTGGACTAATATCTTCTGTTAACCTTCCAATGTGAACTTTTCGAGAAACTTCTTGACGGTCACCCTCCATCTAAATCACCATGATGAAAGTACTAATATGTAACGACCAATTTAATTACAAAATAGTTATAAGCTAGTGACAGATGTAATAAATGCTAAGTTCTCTCAACCATACTTTCATACTAACTATCGTAATGACGGAAGACTGAAAGACCAGATGGAATATATATATATATATATATATATATATATATATATATATATATATATATATATATATATAGAAAAGACACAGTTTACCAACAAAATATGTACACCTTATCTTCAGACTTCAATTTTTGCAAAACAGTCTAATCACTATCGCCTTCTACGTGTCTGCTGATCTTCAAAATACTTTGACAACACCATGCATTCTCATCTGACACCACTCCGGCAGTAACTTCTGAGTGACACCACTGTATACTACTTAAAAACCACGTTGCGAGCAGTGTCCACCACACAACGACAAAACAGTTCATTTTTCTACTACTTAAAGTTACTCCGAAACACAAATCTTCTACCGAAGATCTATTTGTTAGACGCCTTTTTAAAAACTCAGAGCGCCCAATGTGAAAATGTAAACAAATCCTCATTCCATTGAAACCTCCAAAAAAGAAGGTACTGAATGACAAACGAACAATTCTCTACAGAAAATTCGTAACTTATTACAAGCTCATGAACCTGGATGCGAGTCACAGTCTGTGTAGAAAATAGTGAGAACACCAAAGTATCCAAACCGTAGTGGGCAAACATTTAGCCATCAACCCACTTTCTACAATAAATATCACAGTTCAATCAAAACCTTAAGGAATTAAAAATTCCTACCTTTGATATGGGGATACGAACATCACACTGTCGATTTTCAATGGTATGTCTTTCAGCCAAACACATAACTTGTGCTGTATAATCAGAGAAGCGGATAAACCCATATCCTTTACTTTGCTGAGTTACTGGGTCTCTTTTGATCTGTAATAAATAATCAGGTTTATAATAAATAATAATTTTACTAATGACTGAAATATCTGAAACATAAGCTGACTAGTACAATGAAAGTGCTCAATGTTCTTTCATCAGAATGCTAGTCAGTCAATCTGTAGCTTTTAGTTTTAAAACAGCAAAGAGATTTGAAAGATGTCGTTTGTAATTTGTTTTACTACGAACTTTACTGCCTTTCGACTTGGGATAACAACTGGGACTTTTGTGAAGGATAAATAAGTTAAAAATAAGAGCTACGGTCGGAACCTACTGCTAGTCGTTTACGTCTCAGTGTCAACAAACTATTTTACAGGCTATCTACGTTCCCAACGGCTATGACTAACTAAGCTCAGGTAGTAGACAGTTTTAGAATAAAAACTGTTAAGGAGGGAAAATCCCACTCAGCTTTCGAAAACTATGCCCATCAGCCAAGAATTAAAATTAATTTGAACCATGTGGTTATATAACTTCATCAAGATTTTGCAAACGGTATCTAGAATAGATTGTGTGAAGTTTCGAAAGTGACTTGTCATCAAGTTATCTTTACTATCAATTTTTTCTTACCTGCACAACCTTATAATCCATGATAAGTTAAAAAAAAACGTGAAGTTATACCAATGAAATGTAGTTATTTTATCTGCTACCGGCGTTGTGTAAGTAGTAGAATAACGGTAGTCAAATTATGTCACGAAGCTTGAGAACTGGCTAGGCAAAGAACAACTTGAATAATCATTGCTGTAAACATATCACAGCAATAACTGTTCCAGCACGTAGTCACAGGCAATAAACAACCATGTGGTAAGAAGTTAGCACGCGATTTATTTGCTGAGTCTTAAGCACCAAGTCACCACTGTTAAAAAAACTATGGATAAATCCTTTCTAAGTAATGTAATTCATAAATTAAATCGCATACGGTATACATTTCCTTACTTGGTAGGCTAATTCTGGAATAAATACACAGAATACTAATGCCCAGCATTTTAAAATCCTCAAGTGGTTTGATGCTTTGATAGTTTTAAACTATGCATTAGATTAAGATTACATTTAGAGTCATACATGCAACGTTTACTGAACTAACATGAATGGTCAAATGGTATTCCTTATTAGGAATAAACTACTTAATCTGCAGCCGCCAGGTTTTGGTGGAAAGTGCCAACTTTCTGTTGGTTTTTAATGTAAAGAGTTATGAGGTTTCTCTTTCCTTAGTCTGTATGAAGATCTGAGATCTAATGGACAGTTTACAAGGAATGCTCCTTATGGAAAAAAACTCACCTGGATCATCACAAGGTCGCCGTACTGACTAAAATAGTCACGTAAAGTATCTTCATCGGCTCGCCAAGGCAAGTTTAACACTATCAGATCCGTACACGTCTTTTTATCAAAACGTTTTTGCTTCATTTTAGAATCTAACGAATCCTCATCTGCTTTTCTCTTGGAACCTTGAAAAAAGGATTCAGAACCATAATGTGCAATAGTATCATCATATCTCAAGCAATAAAATAGCATACAAATATGTTTATTTATACCGATTAAATTCCCAAACCCATATTAAGGCACTAGTACTGTTTTTATCATGTGTACATATTGATAACCAAAGAATGTCCTGAAGTTTACTTAATGTGTTTAGATAAAGATCAAACCACTTGAGCGTTGAGGGGTATAAACATCAAAGGTTATTGCAGAATTCTTGGTAATTGATATTTCTGCGATTAAATTAAGATTTTTAACCATATAGGACATTACGAACGTATGGATAACTTATACCAGGGTTATCCATTACGTCGATAAATTCGGACTTCAAACAATTGTTTAAGTATCTCAAACTCCCAGTAATGATTCAAATCAATCTTGTCAAGCACTAGTTCGAATAATTAATAATATGTTTACGACTTCGACCATACATAATGGTTGATGAATTATTAACCGAAGCCGCTCAATCGGCGTGATAGTCGCGCTTGTCTATCGTGATGACTAAAACGGGTTATATTGGCAGAAACACATTATCCTTTAGGTCTTAATACACAAAGATGTCGGTTGGAGAACGGTAAGACTTAAGGCTGAAACTGAAGGTCCGAGGACGTATGTATACTGCTAATTGCAGGTTACGGAAGCAGTAAGGTGGTTTCATCGGACAATATATTTGAAACTACCTCACTACACCGTGATTTTGACCTAAACTATAAATGCGCGAGATTGGACCGATTAACAAGACTCTAAGAAACAGTTTAACTGGCCTTCAGCCACAAGCAATCTGAATGGCAAATCAATAAAGTCTTCCTACAAAACTAAGACCAGATAGTCTAAAGCAAGAGGGAGTAGCACGGTAGTGTTAGGTACTTATTTCTAGGTAGTTTTTTAAGGTGCAAGTTTAGTTCAGTCGATGAACAGCATACGTATACGTTAACAATAACGAAAGGGTCAACCTTTCAAAAATGCAAATACAGTGCGGTGAATATCACATGCAGTTCTCTGACCAAAAAACTAATACGATAATTTAACCCAACTAGTTAAAATCCTAAGCTAATGTTGGGTCAGGGAAGTGTCAGTTATTAGCAGTCTCCTGTATATCGATAGAGTTCAAAAGATTTAATTATCAGTGACTTACATTTTGGAAATACACAACAAAATGTGTTTTCGTGCCAGTGTCCATCAGTGGGAGGAAATAAACGGTCATCCAAAAGACGAACACCGCGATAGCATCCTGAGTCGCCAGACCTGTACTTCAGTCCCGTGCAATCTGGAAACTGGGCGGTTAATGTTGACAGTAAAAGCGTATCGTCATCTTCCAGAGGCACTTCGATCGGTTGATCATCCTCGGTTTCGCATATTTTCACGTATCGCGTGAGTTGCATTTTTAACATAACCGAAAAGCGCGCAAAAGGAGGCAAATATGTAACATAACAAAGATTATTAAAAAATATTTCATTTGTCATATACAGTTTTGTTAACTAATGTTCTCCACCCTTTTTCGCTTGTCACTTCCTTAATATGACATAAATAAGTGAAATTTAACTGCAGCGAGTAGCTGGATCCAAGATGACAGCTTGTGTTCAGTCCATTCTTCGGAAGTAAACCAAGTAGCCTATGGTAATCCTCAAAGTGTAAGTTGCTACTAAGATCCAATGTCTGTTTTTCCGTATCATCATAAGGCGGTGACATTACTCAATTTCATGACGAATCTCAGCGATTTATCACTTGAAAAAAACTACTTCAGACAGATTTAATCACAGTTTGTTTACATAAAGCATGTCAGAAAGGTTTTGTACTAGGATTTTTGAACTGCAAACAGCAAAGTGACTCTTAAGCCTTCAGTTTTAGTCTAAGGTCTGGATGAAGGGTGGTGATGAAAGTTTTACTTTGACTTGTTGAAACTGCAACATCCGGAGTATTCCTATCCTTCACAGCTGTGCAGTTTTTCTACTTGCACTGAGGTTAGTCATACATGAACAGTGTGTCATGAAACTGTGTTGTTACCTCGGAATTTTATTCCCTCCTAGGTATTCGAGTAGTTACGCCGGATAAATAGTAATCAATAACCAAATGTTTGCTTCATTTTATTGAGTCTTCTCAGCTTTTACTGCACCTGACAGATATGGAGCAGTATTGTCAGTGGTTCAGAAATTATGTTCACTAGAGCTCCCATGCTCTGGAGAGGGATATCATCAAAACTGCCGAAATCATAATTTTTGAGATTTCAGGAGTATTCGTAAAACAAATCACCTTCTCACTGAACAAATGCTGTGTCGTCAATACACCATTGTTTACATAATTGGACCGTTTTTTACCGTTTGCGGGAATTAATGGAAGGAAACTTATAGGTGGGGAGGACAGGCTTTACAAGGTAAAATCAACAATGAAACCTGCAGTACTCACGTTCTGAGACCTACTAATAATGTTTTCACTGAAAACCCTATCTGAGTACGGCAATACTGTGAGGCTGGATTACCCAAGTGACCTTGACATTGTATAACTACAACGGGTTTAGCTAGTCGGTGCGGGGGCCGCGCAGGTTACCTCCCGATAAATCGAAGATCGTTAAATTCCAGCAGGTGTGTATCACTCTACCTACTTTTCTAAACGCTTTCACAGTTGAACTATATTATGGTACCTTAGGGTGAGAATTATTGGCTACATATTTAGCTGTGAAGCATTTCAGTTACTTGTTGCGGGGACATGACTTAACGACAATGAGCGGTAACATAAACTTGTGTTATTCCTTCAGCATGTCATATGAATCATCATTCACCACGGAAAACA